TACAAGTTATTTATCAGTAAAAGCAATGTAATTACCTTTCATGAAAGACAACCAAATTTTTCATGAACCCTAGAAACACCTCCAAACTTACAAAAAAAACTCTATTTGCTCCTATAAACAAAACAAATACAACCAAAACATACAATTAAGATCATTGATTAATAAATACTTTTATAAAAAGGTCAACTCTACATGTGAATCAAGACGATACACATGTAAAAAAAAGATGTATAACTAGTAAAAAAACTTAAAGAAAAAGAAAAAAACTTAAAAAAATAGTATTTAGAAAGATGATTTGATTTTAAAATAATAAAAATTATTTGTAAAAATTTTAAATTTTTATTATTAAAATAATCAAGTGTTACTGTATTAAATTTTAAACATACTGTCAATTGTAAAACATGATTTTCATACTCTCATACTGTACAGTATTTTAGTATTGCATTAGTGTTTTAGTATAAACTGTACAAAATATACATTTATTCAATAAACTGTATCCTTTTAAATTCTTACGCTTTTTGTCTGCCTTTCTTTTATCATTTAATTGAAATTTACTTTTTTACTTTGTTTTTTATTCTCTAAATCCCAATATTCTATCTACATAATTCTAAAATAATTGGTTTTCAATTTCATAGTTGCAGTCTATACGAAACCGAAACTACTTATGATAACATTAATATGACAAAAGCTATAGTATTCGTATTTATTCATTTAAATAAGCGAAGGTGTTAAACTTGTACACTTTTTATATAAATACTTAAAATAAAGATTAGGCTATAAATGTCACATGTGACATACCTTGATTAGAGTTAAAAATGGGATTTACTTCATGCATCTCCCTCATTAGAATTACAATAAAAATATAAAAACTATCTCTCCATCCCATATTTTAAATGCATTTTGTATTGTGTAATTTAAAAAAGGTATTTTGAAACATGTTATGGAATGTATAATCCATAATAGGTCTTTTAAATACATTTCAGATTATGTAATCTTATGAATATTTTTCATACTGCACATAATATATTTTTAAAAAATTACAATTTTAAAATCCACATCCCAAAAAATAGTTTTGAATCCAAAAATACACTATAGGATATACATACAAAATACATTTAAAAAAGGTTTCATGATATCTTCAAATATATTTCTATATACAAAAATACTTTTTTTTTAGAGTTAGATTTTTCAGAATGTATCTCTCACTCAAAAATCCACCGTTCTTTCACTAAAGAGGTCCTCCTTTGCATCCTCAACTTTGTCTATAAGGACTATAACGTAGGGAGACAACGTCGTTGCCGTGTACGCGCATGTAGGGAAAGAGATCCAATGGCTGTTGTCGAAGGATGAGCCCACAGTGATAAAAGAAAAAAGAGAGGGTAAAATGGGTTTATTAATTTTATATGGGTAGAGGAATAAAAAAATGAGGTGCAAAAAACATCCTTTATTGTTTTTCTGCTGGATCACAAGGCCCAACAACTGGGCTTCTTACGCTTCTCTGCATTGCAAATGGTTGGTGATGCACGACATGATTTATTTTTACATTTTTATTTATTTCTATATATACTAAAAATAGATTTATATAAATAAATAAGAAATGCGGGAATAATATCCTTATATTTCACTTGTTTTCTTTATAAAACCAGTTGGTCTGCCAACATTTTTCAAAGTTATTTTTTAAAATTTATTTGATATTTATATTTATATATTTTTTAAAGTATATTTAATTATATAAATGTTTTATAAGTTTTTAGTTGACTAATTAATATTACTAATTAGATAAATTAAAATAATTATATTTTTACATCTTAAATTATTTCATTGTAATTAATAATTGAGACATGATTTATATATATATATATATATATATATATATATATATATATATATAAATAATTTAAATTTCAATGTTATTATTACATTCTGAAAATAATATATTAAAAAAATAATATTTTAAACTTTTTTATTTTAATTTAAAAAACGAGTTGTTAGACCAATTTATCTTGTCTTGTTAGACCAAAATATACTAACCAGTTAATAACACCAACTGGTTAAATTTTGGGGGCCACCATATTAATAATACTCGCTTTATTAACCGAATTATGTTTGTGATTTTAATTATTTAATTGAACTACTCATAATAAAATACATTTTTAAGAAATTATTTTGTAAAAGTAACATACATTTTATCTAAAACTGATTTGGCTAGGTCAGATTTAACGATGCCACTTCACATTTTATTTTTGGATTAATTGTTATAAAAGTAAAAGATTTGGTATACTTAAATATATTATTTTCACTAAATCAATTTAAAAATATTTTTTCATATGCTTAAATATATTTTTAATTCTTGTAAAATGAATGAATTTTGATTTTGATTCCTGCAGTTATTATTATTATTTTCAAATTGAAAAATATAATTTTCATTTATAGTATTGAATGATACTAATTAATTATTTATGTGTTATCATATTTTTTTTTTCTCTTCTTTCCTCTTTCTAATCGTTTATTTTTTGTAATTATTCGAAATTATATCTTATCTATTTTTTTAGTATTGTAACCAAGTGTGCATGCACAACAATTCCTACTACTGACACCTCTTTATCAAATTTTCATTAATTTAATCATATTAAAATTATAATTAAATAGTAGTTAAATACATTAGATTATTTAAGTAAGTTTCGTAAGAAAAAAAAAAACTATCGAGATATATTCAAATTTTCAGCAATTTTTTTATGTTTGTATATATAAAATAATATATCTTTGATAAGTACATTTTATTTAATAGATATAATATTTGGTAAGATTATTAGTTTTAAATATATATTTGATTAACAAATACAAAATATTAATACATTTATTACTCATTAAAATTTATTTATTACTTTAATTATTATTGTGGAAAACTTTACTACTTGACCACTTTAACAAATACAATAATAAATACTTTATAAAAAAATTATTTAAAGTAGGCACTGTATACATAAAAGAAATAAATATTTTATATAAACACATATAGTTATTAAACTTTTCAAGAATTTTAATATATATAGAGTGTGGGATTGAGTGAGTTTGTTTATTTTAAATTTTTACAATAAGTCATACATGTATGAAATCTAATAGATCTATTGTCATTATTTTTAAATGCTTGATTATTATTATTATTATGAAAATAAAAGTTTTTCATGTCTGATAGAAGACAATAAAAATATTTTATGACGTAATATTTTTCTAAAACTAATAGACAATTTTTTTCATCTTCACAAAAATACATTTTTCGGTTATAATTTATGAAAGGGAGCCGTATGATTTTTATTATTCTTTTGAGAAATTTAGATATTAACCACACTTTATAAGCTTTTGAGTAAATCATAATTATAAAGAGAAGGGTTAATGGCACTTTTTTTTATATATTTTTTTCTAACACATTTATCATTTATTAAAATTGATTTAAAACATAAAATAAAAAGAAAAACTCAATAAATAAATTGATAGACCTGCAAAAGTTATAAGATTTAAAAGAAATCTATATGTTATTTTAGTAAATGTAATTTAACAGTAAAAAGTGTATCGAAAATAATACTTTTAAAGAACATTGCATATATCTCTGTCTTAACAAATTCACTCCAACAACTAATTTATCTAACATTGAGAATGATAAATTTCATGCAGTAAACAACATGAAGTCCCAAACCAACTTTTCCAAAATTTAGAGTTCAATTTCTTATATACTGTGCACAAACAAACAAAAACAGTTATCAAACCCACAAAATCAATGATCAAATTGTATAAAATAGCTAATATTTGGGTTGCAGAAGTGATCTATCAATTTCTGTATAAACAGTATGAACAAAAAGGAAACTCAAAACTAAAACTTTCATGTGTTGAACCAGAATCTAACATCAATAACAGAAACAGGGAAAAGATTTAAGTAAAGTAATTGCAAAAAGCAAATCAGAGGAAAGGGAAGAAGTATCAGAAATCATAGGAATGGGCAGAATTGGGAAGAAAATTACACACAATCACTTGAGATTTCATTGCTTCCCAATCCGCCCATTCCCACAAATTCTGATTGCTTCAATCTTCCATTCCCAGCTCTTTGTTAATTTTTTCTTACAACTCATTCACCACTTACCCTAACTCCTTTATATAACAAGCCTAACTCCCTCAGTCACGTTCTGCAAAACACCACTTTACGTAAAGCTAAAGGCTTAAAGCTTCAAGATTCCCTCATCACAAAAGCATGGTTGGTATAAAGCATCTAGGTAAAAGTGGGGTTGCAAAGTTACTCACCAAAACATACTATCAAACATATACTGTGCATTTTTTATTTTTTTTTCATATATATGGTTGTCTACAGGATTTCTTTTTAAAAGTAATTTTCTTAAGCATGTAATTTGAGGTTTTTCTTAAGAGAGATATTTGGGAGACGGTATTAATGAGTTTGAGATCAAAACCCTACTTTCAAAAGTTGAGGAATTTGTTGAAATATGATGCAAAGTTGAGGAATTTATTCAAATGCCTGGTGAATTGCTGCCAATCAAAGAAAGTGAAGAACCAGAATAGGAAATCACTTTACTGGGGAACCAATTGGGGATACTTGCGTTTGCAAAATCGATTCTTTAAAACGTGTGCGTGGTTCCCCAATTTCTCCACTTTATCCATAAAAAGTGATTCTTTTCTTTTTGCTGTCTTCTTTCTTGCTTTTTATTTTTCTTTTCCATGTTATTTTAGGCTGTTCAATGTACCTAATTTCTCCACTTTTTTAGTGCATCATAAATTTGATTTTGATTGAAATCATGGAACTGCTTTTAAAACGTTGAATGTGAACAGGGTGTATGGTTAGATTAATTTGAAGTACATTTTGTTATCACCACAAATTTTCACTTTGTAACTCTGCTGTATAAAACAGAGCAAGTAATGCAAAGTTCATAAGCAATAATCAATCTTTCAAAAGCAGAATTTATTTGGTTGAGCAGAACCCTTTCTATGACTAGTTTTTTTGTTCGAATTGTATACCAAAATTCAGTTTCCATATTTCATCAGCTTATATAATCCATGCCATGTAATTTCGTGCATGATAATTACTAAACAGCTCTATGATGACGTGAATTATGAAAATGTTGCAGTTATGACCAATCTTGAAATTGAATTTTGATGCAATCTTTCCAGTCTCAGCAGATAATCTATTGGATGTTCAAACATGAAGATGTGAAGTACTTTAATAGGATAATGTTTCCCAAAACAGAGAAAAGGTTGAGGAGTTGTTTGAGGAGAATTAATAATGTAAATTGTTGCTCTAGTTCCTCAAGAGAAGACATAGTTCTGGAGCACACCATCACTTCATTCATCTCCCCGTAGTGCATCCCTAAGTTCACTGCATCATGACAAGACATTGATTTTAACAGACATAAACATGTGAAAGAAGGAAATTAAAAGGTTATTTTGCATTGGTGTAAAATGTATATGAAACACTACGTTCATGAATTATGTTACCTTGGGATGAAAATTGTAAGGAAATTGATCTGAAGGCATAACAAAGGGAGGCTGCATCATGTTGTTGGGTTGAGGAATCAGCTGGTTTCCTGCCTCCAAGCCCTATGAAGTAAACAACAGCAAATTCCATTAATTTATCTAAACACATTCATGAGTTGAAATAACAATTTTTTTCTCAGATATATTTGAACTTAACAGATGGCATAAAGTTATGCAACATATATATAAAATAAATCCAATTTACTTCATACTTACTCTGCCCATATTCATCACATTCATAGGATTTCCCATAAAACCAGCTGTGTCAGGCAGGGTAGCTTGGCTTGAATGCCTTCCTTCTGCAATGTTTCCAGCAGTACGCTCTTCCTGCTATATAGCAAGCATACCATAACTCAATTATACATTTTCCAAAACTGAATAAAACAACCTATTTGTTTGTTTAACTCAGACTAATCGATTTCTAAACATATTAAAAAGTAAACTTTAATCCTATGAAACTGGTTTGCAAAAGATAAGATTTACATTCACTTATATATACTGTTAATTGACTTTATTTCTAGTGGACATAAGACTTTCAATACATTTCCCTTACTCTGAGCATATACATTTCAAGTATGAGACTAGATATTAATGAACAGTCTGATAGTATTCCAATAACATATTGAACAACATACTTAACAAAGAAGCAATTTCGTTATAACAAGTTCTAACTCAACTTTGATATCATGTTGATGTGATCATATATTAAGAAGTGAATTTTAAAACTAACTTTATCCTATAAAATCGATATAAAATAAGGTTTGTACCTACTTATCTATTATGAATTGGCCTAATTTTTAATCCTTTGAGGACTTCCAACAAAACAACATTTTTTTGTCACAAGTGCACAAACAACCCGAGTAAGTTTACTAAGGAAGTGATTGAAAGAAAACAGAATGGAGATACCTGAGCACCATAAGCACAGAAATTTTGGAGGTTATCTGGGACAATATCAGTGAGGAATTGCATGGCATGATTCTGCATAATAACCTTAGCAACGTCACATGGCTGCACAGTACTTTTGTTGCTCTCTTCAGCACGCATCCAGGCACGATAAGTGAGTTCCTGGATGAAAATCTCACATGCTTTTGACATCAGCATGGGAGTTTCAGCACTCACCATCTGCTTACCACACAAACATTCCATCATCAGCTGTTGCTTACACATGTTTTCTCAGTCACATAATGTAATCACAACAACGTTGTTTAGAAACAGTAACATCTATAAACACATGACTTTCAGGAAGTAGCATTGATCAATTATGGATAGCAGTTATAAACTAACAATAGACAGTCAACAGAGTATGTGGCAGAATCAGAACTATAAACCTGCACATCTGCGTCTGTTTTCATTATCCTTCTGATTCGAGCTAGCGGCAACTTGTGCTGGCTCTTAAATGCTGCCAATTACATCGTAAGAAAATACAAATACCACCATTAAATCAAGCTGTTAATCGAATGCAATGGAACAAAGAAACATAGTATATATCTTTATTAGTTTATTACATTACATCAATAATATGATAGTTTAAAAAAATGTTAATCAAAACCTTCAGCAGCTTGAATATCCATCAACTGCTTCTCCCAGAAGGATCTGAGTTTCCCCTCCTGCTCTTACATGAAACAGAAAAGCTATGGTAAGATTAAGATTCAACCCTTTGACAGTAGAAAAAAAAAGGAAATCTTGAAGTCAGTGATTAACCCTTTTCAAAATCAAAATTTACCCTTTTCAATAAATATAGAATGCATATTTAAAAATTAATTTATCATAATAAATTCTGTGGCGATTGAAGTAGAAAAAGGTAATCATTTTACCTGTATGTTTTGTGGACGATACTGAGGCACTGGATACGAGGGCATTGAGATGGAATTCGACAACACATTTGTTGAAGCTGAATTACTGTTGAATTCCAATGGTAGATTGAAAGTGTTTCTCCGCTAAATTTGTCAAGATAAATAGAAAAAAAAAAGTTATTTTCTAACAAAATAAGCAAACATGGTTGAAATTGAAACAAAGCAATTGAAGTTTAAACTAAATCACTTTACCTCTCTATCGTTTTCTTGATGATAATGAAGTATAGGACAAGAGGGCACTAACATAGAATTTGAGACAACATTTGATGAAACTGAATTACTATTGAAATCCATTGCTTGATTGCAATTACTCCCCTGTTTTATCAAGAGACAATTCGTTAAATAATCATGAACACATTTTTCTAATTTTTAAAAAGAATAATAATACACATCGATTATTTTTCAACATTTATGATTTTTTTTTCTATGTCTCTTCAAACACATAAATTTTTATGAGTTTTCTATTTTTAAGTATCATCAACATTTAATAAAGTGCCGTATAATTGAGTTAAGCAATAAATAATCCATTTTTTAAAACAAAATTTTAGAAGAAATCATTTTACCTGTCTATGTTCTTCATTATACTGAGGCATTGAATAAAAGGGATTTGACATGAAATTTGATACCATATTGGATGAAGCTAGATTATTATTGAAATCCGTTGGTAGAATAAAATTGTTTGCCTGAGAAATTTGTTAAAATAATTCATTTTCTTTTTTGAGAAAATAAAATAGTTAATAATTGAAGTTTAAATGGAATCACTTCACCTCTCTATCTTGTTGACAGTACTCAAACATCGGGTGAAAGGGATTCTGTATGGAATTTGGTAGCAAACTTGATGGAAGTAAATTGCTGCTGCTTCTCTGCTTAATTTGTGATCAACATAAGTGATTTTTTAGGGATTAAGAACGTGTTTGGAACAAGAAAATAGATTATGAATGGAATCACTTAACCTCTCTGTCTTGACGAAATTGAGGCATCGTATAAGGAGTCATGGACATGGAATTTGATGGAACTGAATTGTTATTGCAATCCAATGGTAGATTGAAATTGCTTACCTGTTTAATTCATCATCAACATAAACGAAAAATCACTTTTCAAGAACATAAGCACGGTTGATCCAAACGCGTCACAAGAATATAAATATGAAATCACTTAATTAACCTCTCTATCTTCTTGAAGATACCGAGACATTGTACAAGAAGGTCTCAACACAGAATTGGGTAACATGTTTGGTGAAGCTGAATTACTAGTGAAATTCATTAAATAAAAAAAATTGTGAATTATAATTTTGAAAAAAAAAGTACGTCAAGGGAAGAAAAAAATAAGAAGAAACAAAGCTGAATATAATAAGTTTTGGGATTTAAAAAAGGACATAAATAATAAATGCATGTGAATTGTATTGTCTTGATTAAGCATTTATTATTTGATAAATCATTAATGATATTTATTTTCCTTAAGTGTGAATTTGTACGTGCATCTAATATTATTGGCAGCTGTACAGTGAAATATTGAAGTTTGCCAACAGTGATTCATTTAAAGGATTAATGTCTAAATTTAAAGATGCTTCACATGCATTAAAATATTTTAATATTTTTAATAAATACATTATTTTATTTAAAATGCGGAGAGTAATTAATTTAAAAATAACTTAGAAAGAAAAAAAGTTAATGACTTATTTAAAAATGATAATAGTTTTGTTTCGCAAAGCTAGCTAAAAAATTACCTATAATAACTTGAAAAACTAGTTGGCAGCCAAATGTTATTAAGGTTAAATATGTTTTTAATTTCTTAATTATCACGTGATTTTGGGTTTAGTCTCTATGAAAAAGTTTTGTTTATTTTAGTCCTCTTAGTTTTGAAACTCTTATGTTTAGTCCTTAAAATCGAACGACGTTAAATTTTTGTATGAGGTGACTAACGGTGAACCACGTCTATGCCACGTTTTTTTTTTCTAAAATATTTGTCACGTTTTTCCCAAACCCTTCCTTCTTCTTCTCCAATCACTCAAAAAGTCTACTCATCTCTTTCACACCCTCCACTGTTACTGAGATATGGATCTTCTACTAGTTTTAATACAGGTTGACATTTTTTGCATTGATCAAATGTTTATATTTTAGTTGGGTTTCCTGGTTTTAAATTACAAGTGGCTTTTCACAGCGGCACTGCGAAACTGAGGTGCACGAGAAGAATGGCGATCTCACACTCGCGATTTCTGGTTGGTAGAGGTGCAAGGAGTTTGTGATTGTTTTTGGTTTTCGTGCATGTTGGTGACGCATATGAATGCAGTGGATGTTGGTGGTTGTTAGGCGTGAGGGTTGATGGAGGAGAAAGTCGCTATGGGTTAAGGGTTTCGAATTGGTTCTGGTTTAGGGATGACCATGGCAGCGCGAGTTAAGGTTCGCAAATTGGTCTCGTGGTAGAGGATGAGAATAATGATTGGGGTTTTTTTTGGGTTTCTTTCATATTAGCGGAAGAGAAGTGAGTATTTGGAGGATTTCGTTTGAGGAGTGACACATGCCTGATTGAATCCTGTTTCTTCTAGCCCTGTGCAACCATCACCGTTCGGCCACCATCGTCATCCAGTCACCATAACCGTTCAGTCTTTTCCCAACATCGTTCGGTCTTTTATATATTGCACGTCATCCCGTCACCATAATCGTTCGGTCTTTCCCAACATCGTTCGGTCTTTCATATATTGCACTCCATTACATCACCATAACCGTTCGGTATTTCCCAACACCGTTCGGTCTTTCATATATTCCACTTCATCCCGTCACCATAATCGTTCGGTCTTTCTCAACACTGTTTGATATTTCATATATTGCACTTCATCCCGTCACCATAACCATTCGGTCTTTCCCAACACCGTTCGGTCTTTCATATATTCCACTTCTATTGCATTGTTATGTTGATTGTAATAGAACCGACTTTTACTTTTATATATACAGATTCGGTTGAGAAGGTCTTCAATATAACTCTTACGTTTCAAAGGTGATTGGGATTTCTAGGTTTCTGTAGGTTTCTGATTAGGACGAAGGAAGATAGTGATTGCGATTTGGGTTCATGGAGGTCTTGCGATGTGGTTTTCTGGATTGCTAGTTCATTAGGCACAATGGTAGGTTTGCTCGCAGTTTGCAGACTTTACAATTCTCAGACTTGGGTTTCTACTTCGCAGGTTCCATGGTGGTTTGCGGTGAAGGTGGCTTCACTGTGGGGAAGTTGTTTCGAAGGAGAAAAAATGATGGAAGGAGAGCAACAGTGGTGGGTGTGAAAGAGATGAGCAGACGTTTTGAGTGATTGGGGAAGAAGAAGGAAAGGTTTGGAAAAAACGTGGCAAATATTTTAGAAAAAAAAAACGTGGCATAGACCTGTTTCACCATTAGCCACCTCGTAAAAAAACTTAACGCCGTTCAATTTTAAGGACTAAACACAAGAGTTTCAAAACTAAGAGGACTAAAATGAATAAAACTTTCGAATAGGGACTAAACCCAAAATTACGTGATAGTTAAGGGACTAAAAACATATTTAATCCATGTTATTAAACTATAATGTTTAGAAAAATTTTGGTTTGAGTAATTTATAATATAAAATAAAATATATAAAAATATATGATATTTTTTATATAATTCTTTTATTTTTGTTATTAAAGTACCTTTTTGAAGTGTTTATATATATTTTTTTTCAAAATGATTTTTTAATTATTGATTTTTGTGTTGGAAATCTCATCTCAATTAGAAATAAGGTCAATTTAGAGTATATTAGTGGGTGCAAACCTTACTTTAAGGTTTTGTGAGAGTTAACTTAGACTTAAAGTCCACTTCTTAACAAGGTATCAGAACTATGGTTAGAGCATATTCTAGCAATATTTATTATTTGTTGGACATACAGTTTCACTCGCTATCGAATCGGTTTTATGAGATTAAATTAGGCTTAAAATCTCGTTCTTTACAATTTTGTTATGTTTGATGAAATATTCAATAATAATTTTTTTAGTTTCAATTATTATACTTTTTATATTATATTATGTGTTACTGTACTTTGAATCAAGTTTACACTTAAGTAAAAACAATGCATAACTAAGTAGATATAATATTTTGGTTATATTAATTGTATTGATTAAAACATAAAACCTGTAAAATGAAATAAAAATCTACTCTTATTATTTTTTTGAAATATAACACTGAATTAGTAAAATAAATGTTAAAAATAATCTGATAGTTAAAATGAACAGTACACTAAATTGTCTTATTTAAAAAAATGGCAATGTAATTTAGTAAGTATTTTTAAAAAAATATACATAGGAAATTAGAATTAGCATTTAAAAATGTTATTTTAGTGGTGTGTAAAACAACATTATAAACTATTAAAAATAAATTATTTAACAAATGAATAAGATTAAACAAGTTTTTTAGCTAGTAAAAAAATTTAAAAATAGCTGAAAAGTTTTGCCAAACAAAACCAATAACGATAAATATATTTATTTTTTGAATATTAAAATTGTAATTAGTATGAATGGAAGAAGCAAATGGCTTTCCTTAATTATAAATGTTGATATTTTAGTAGTGTGAATGGTTTTCCTTAATTGTATATAAATGGCACTTCGTATCTTTAGAAATTCGAGTTCTTCAACACTAATTATTAATTACAAAATTTAATATTTTGAAAATCAAATCAGTCGCTAATACATGATGTAATTATTCAATGTTCACAAGTTTAATTACGGTCAAATAACTGATAATTAAATAAATATTTTAATATTAAATAATACAATGTATTAAATAACACGTCAAGTATTCAAAGTTACATAAAAATTATCATAAAACAATCATGCTATATGTTTCATAAAATGTAAAATCATTAATTAAAAGTTAAATACTAATTATTTTATGTAGATTTATTTTGCATGACTACAGTATCATGTGGAACTACTATTTAATAAAACTATTTTTTCTTATATATGTTCAATTACATATTCAAAAAAACTCAAATTCAAATTCAGTGGAAAATTTCCATACTAATTTATCTCAGGAACATGTTGTCACATTTTTTAAATAATGAATGAGCATTAAATGTAGTTTTTAGAAAAAATAAAAATTTATTAATTTTGACTAAATTAAATCTTGTTAATGGGTTATTTATCTTTTACAGATGTTTCCCAATATGAGAATCCGGTCAATTTTTCAGCTGAACCAATGAATCCAAATCTTATAATTTTTCTCATTTGATAAAATTCCTAAAATAAATAAAAAATAGGATAAGATTAGATTCAAGTGCTTTAAGAATAAATAAATAAGAAAAATGTAAATATAACATTTTATCGATCAAATGTTACTTCTTTATATGATATTAGTGGATGAAGTTGAATATATAATTTTACCCACCATTCTTTTTAAACTTATCAAGTCAATTTATTAATTTTAAATTAAACATTGAATCTTGATTTGATAAATAAATATAAATTAGATTTAATGATGTTACTTGAGATTTAATTTATTAGTTAATTGAGAATCAGTTAATTGTTTAAATTTGAATGTGAGTCTTTAGAAAACTATAATTTTTGAATTGTTTGATTATTGAAATTGTGGATGGATCCATTATTTTTCTTTATTCACTTTTGATTTTTAGTTCTATTTTCCATTTTTTTTTTATGTTTTTCAATTTAAAACCTCCAATTTTAGTTTTAACATGAAAATGAATCTAAATTGTGTTATATATTACAAAATCTTAAAAAAATTGTATTTTTTTATTTCATCTATGATAATGAAATATCAAATTTCATTTTTAATAAACTACACTTATCACACAAAATTTGTTGATTATATGAGTTGATCTACAATAATTAATCAAAAATTATTTTAAGGCTTTTTCTTCTAGTATCGTGGGTTGTACCTATACATCTATACTATCAGTAAGAAACCAATCCCTTCAATAATGTAAAACTAACTCAAATTTTATACTAATAAAAAAGCTAACTCAAATTAAGATTATAATCAGATAGACATAAGCTAGACTTTATCACTTCTTATACAGTGAAGTTCAAACTACAAAAAAGAGAGAAAATCTGCTTCGACGCTTAAAGAGAAAACAAAAGAGAAGTAAAAAAAGAAAAGTCTTAAAAAAGAATAATTTTATATAACAAAAAAATATATTTAGAAAGAATGAAGGATAAAATATTTAACTTGCTATTTATTTATTTTTTTAAAATTTAATTCAGCATTTAATTTGAGATGTGTCTAAACCAATAAAAGCGTGATCTTACAATTTTTCTCATTTAAAGAAAT